TAAAATTTGAATGATTTTTATTAGAAGCAATTATTAATTTTTATATTGGTGTATCAATCTTCTTGCAATGACCCATACAAAACATTAAAACAATATGGTAATGCTGTATTAGCTCAACATTAAGGATATATGACTGCTATAACATTTAGACTACATGTATAATGAAAGGAAATTATTTTAAAATCCAAACTCAATAGTAAATTATTGAAAGTCCGTTTTTATATGTAAGTCCCGGCTTTTTAGTTTTTCGCATTCTATAAATGATAACGAAATAAAATTTTGTCTGAATGTTAAACTATAAATAATGTAATTTTTATATCTTTATTATGTGTAATATTGGAATCAACTTACAATAACTGACTGTCAAAGATTTAAAGTAAAAATTTGATATAAAAATGGGAATTTGCTTTTAATTGGTTATATGTTAATATTTTGAAATCGATTTATAAGGAAGATTTTTTATAAACGATAACAAACAGAAAAATAAGCAATTTTAAAAATAAGTTATAACGATAATACATGTATGAATTTAACGATAACATACTAACCAAATACGTGTAAAATTTTTTTGATATTAATATGAATATCTACAATCAATAAATAAATTACATGTACAATAGAAAGAGGGATAAGCAGGCGAAGAGTGTAAATTAAGTACATAGTTTATGTTTATACTAGGGTACCACCGGTTTTGGAATAAAGCTCACTTGCCCATCATCTGGGTAAAAGAAAAACGCCATTGCTATTATTACATAAGCAGCCTAATAACATTATAAACAATTCATCAATATTAATAATATTTTGAGAGAGACTGAGAATATAATAAATTAATTTAGAAGCTCACCAGTAACATAGCACCCTCAAGCCAATTCGACTTTCCATCAGCGATCAAGTAATTGACAATTAATATCGCGACGACAAGGACACATGTTTCAAAGCTCTCAAAAAATAGGGTTAATGGTTCGCCGAGGAACCAACCTAGAATGACGAGCAAAGGAGTCATTCCGAGTGCTATTTGCATGCTTGAACCGATGGCGACGCCTATTATTTATTCAAAAAATGAACGGAGAATTAATGAAATCAATCCGGAAGAATTGAATAATAGACTAAAGAAAGAGAATAAATTCGTACCAATGCATAGATCCATCTTATTTTTTAATGCGAATGTAACTGAACTCACACTATTGATTAGAAAAAGTAAAAATTAATGATGATTTAAAAACCAATATCAAAAACACGAAACATAACTTACTGTTCTGCCGCATTTCCAACAATCGGTATTAACACGATACCGACGAATGTTCTTGAGATGTTCCAACTCTCAACCAATCCTTCGATGCTTCCAACCAAGTAATCAGCAGTTATTGATACGATAATTGAAATAATTAACAGACTATTATTGTTAAACAAATAAGCATTTAGTATGATTAATTTAGGTCGTACTGCAAAGCGAGATATTATTGGTTCGGAACAGATAATACCTGCCAATCGAAACATATATAGTCATTTGCGGGGAATCATCACCATCAATAGTTTCACTTTCATACTAAAAGAAAGCAATGAAACAATTAAAAAATCAATAAAAGATCAACAAATGTTATACATGTACCATAAATGACACAAAAGCATACCAGATGAGAATGGGTTTTAAGTTGAAACACCAAATACATGATATAAATAATCAATAAGACGATTGCTGTGCCATGACTTAGGTTCAAAATTCCATCGATTGCTTTCTCGCTATCTACGGAGGTGTAAAATGCAGCCGGAATTAATAAGGAAATCATGGCGAGAGCGAGTAAAGAGGCGGAGGTTTGTGCTGCTGTGACGTTGAAAAATTGTTCCGAGTATCTATGATTATTTTTAATCGAGAACATAAATTAAAGCATTTATTTGCTGTTAGGAACTGAAAATTGAAAAAATTAATGATTACCTTATTCCTCCAAGGAAAAAGCAAACTCCTTGGACTAGTAGCAAATTCGATAACACTGATCCAAGGATTGAGGCTATTTTTGATTGAAATTAGGATCAATATAGATTCAAATGAATAAATGAAATGCAAAGTTCAGTTTATTATACCTTGCACCACTCTTATGAGACCATTGTTTAGTGCGACCACAGAAATAATTAACTCGACAGCGTTCCCAAAAGTTGCATTTAACAAGCTGCCAATTGTATCGCCGAAACGTAATGAAATATCTTCGGTTGCTATATACATGTAATAAACAATTAAATACTGTAAGGAAGAAAAAGAAAATCATCCAATTACTTATAAATAACTCACCAAATCCTAATAAATTGGCTAATGGAATGATTCCCATAAAATTCAGGCAAAACACCCAAGTATCCGACCATCCACATAATTTGGACAATATCCCAAACGGAATAAATATTAATAGATAATTGAAATTTGAACAGCATAATAAAGTTTTTACAGATGAATATGTGGTGGGTTCAGCGTCATCATTTTTATCGATGATATTATGGCTATTGTTATAAGTATGACGATTATTATTTTTCAATAGTGGGGTTTGATCGTTCATTATCGTGTTGGAAAATTGAGGTAAGTACTGCTTATTAGATAGGTTTTTTTGCTTTCTTATGAAAGGACATAGAAAAGGAAATAATGAGAAACGGGAATCGTTATTATGATTTGTTCTTGATGATGGTAAAGAATTCATTTTGAAACTCTTTTTGTTGTTAGCCTTTATATATAAAGATTGAAGAGATTATTTTAATTTGGCGCGCGCACGCTTTATTTGGTGATGAAAAGATGTTGATGAGTTTAAGCTTGTAGTTAAGAAGTAAAACGGAAAAAAGGATAATCTATGTATAATTTATGTGCGCGCAAATTAATTTGATTTCAATATAACGATAAATTTAACGTATTAAATCTTTTGCTTTTTGCAAGTTTACAGAGGATGCGCCTGCGTTTTGCCTTTACGTCCAGCTTATAAATACGTACGGTTAAAAAAATAGGTTTTCCATAAGGAAATTCTCGGAGTTCTGTAGATTTCTGCGTAAGAATGTTACTTTTGTACTACTTTTCTTAATCGAATAACGATAAATCTATGATTATAAATTAGAAGCATCAAAATGAAATGAAATATAATGAAGTATTTAATCTGCCTAAAATTAAACTGCGACATTTTATATGTAGCGTCTAATCATCATAATATTTCTTATATCAAGAATTTTCGAAAAAAAACTCGGTATTTTCCAGATGAACTATTGAACTGAATAATTTGATTTGTTTTTTGTGGACAAATAGACCCACTTGGCAGAGACGTAACGCACGCCGTCTTCAAACGCCAAAATAGACACACAATAATCAAATTTATTGAATAGACTGGTAGATTTACACGTGATAACGCGCTTAAAAATAGGCGTTCTTGTTTCGAAAAACCATAAAGGCAGTTCTAGTCGGAGCTACAGGGGGGAATAGCAAAGTTTTTGATTACGTTTGAGATTTTAATGAGAAAATGCAATGGACAAATAAATCTAAAAATAAAAGTCAATATCTATAATGAATCTTTGTCAAAACATATATCATTTAAGAAATTAGCTAGTTTTGCTTTGATCTATTCTTTATTCAAATTTCCTTTATTTGATTGTGTTAAGATAAAATTTAATTAGAATATTTTAAATTTACCAAATACGTGTATATTAACGACGACGACGGACATGAAAATTTTAAAATTTGATAATACTAATACACAGTAAAAGATTGTTTACCCATAATTGGGTATATAATAATAATAACAAAAAATTCTATCAATCAAAATTTGTCATCATAAAAAATTAAACCAATCATCGTTAGCGACTTCTCATTTTCGTTTAGAATAAGGATCGATTTTATTATTAGAATGGCGATTCTATAGGCGTGTCTTTACATGATAGAATAATTTATATTTGAAAATTAGATATTGTTCTTTATTTTTACATTTTACCAAGGTTTCCTTCCAGAAATTTCGCAAACCTGTTACGAAACTTCATTAGAAATGTATAAATATTACGCGTTAGCAACCAAGTTAAAGAATTATACTAGTCCGTACGTAGAATAATCCAAATTCTGAACTACCTGTTATTTCTTACAATTATCTTTCCTAATAACAATTAACAAAGAGACAGCTTTTATTATTAATAATAATAACGATGTCTGTCATGCATTATTGCTATGATTGCGTGGCAAAATCCATAAGAAAGCCAATAGTTCGATGCATAGATATATATTCTATCATTCGATACAAGACTTGGATGTTGACAATGATGAGGATAAGCCACAAAGCATTCCACCTAATGATACCTGACGAAATATTTTCATGATGACGAATGACGTGACGAAACTTGTAACGATTACGAAACCTCTGACGATTGACTAAACTGGGACTTTCTGCTGTAGAAAAGGCAATGCCGATACCGCAAACCACATAAGCTTTTAAAGAACCGTTTAGGGTTTTTTTCGTTCTTCAAATAAAATAAACTTCCTCCTGATTGATGTGGGAAAAATTAGATTTTTTATTGTGATAGATTAAAATGAAATTAGTCTAAAATAAAATATTAAATAATTACCACATCTGTAATATATAATCTACTATTTAATTATGGTCGAAAAATTTCATTTTAATCTGTAACATTTACTATCCGCTACATGTTTACTAAAAATCATTTGTCACATAATTCATTCGACACTGACATTTTCTTAAAGAAAGGTTTCATCAAATATAACAGATTAAGAGGTTTCAGGTAGCTCCAACTTAATACTGAATCGATTATTTAGCCTATGTATGTAGTAATTTTTTTACAGAAAAGAAACGATAGTCAATCGTCATAGGTTTCGTCATTTGTCAAAACAAAAATTACTTGACAAAGGTTTCGTCAGGTATCATTAATTCCACCAAGACCTCCGGCAAGACTTGGTTTCTATGTTCATCCTAGTCCTTTAAAAGTACGCAAGAAAAGAGAGCTAGGTGGAAAGCTACTCCAATACCGCAAGAAACAACAACATCAAAGAAGCGACCATCTGGAGGGATTTACAAAGATAAATTAGTAAGTAAAAAAGATGGTTATGGATATTGCCCATTCGAATATTCCATGATTATAAATATATCTAATGATCGGGGATTAGGAAAAAACTTAAATTCATAATGACAATGAAATAAAGAATTACTCATACCCGATAGCTTATCACATTTCATCTTTAATAAATGAAGAGAGAAACGCATTGTTGGTTGTAATTTTTTTGTTGACGTGTAATCCTTCGTGAACATAATAGTTATTTATTTTGCTTTATTATCAATATTATGATTTCGATAAAGAATTAATTGATTGGATGATTTCCTATTCACTTTTAGTATTTCAACAGATTGTTTATGCTATCACATAAAAAACTTTCAAGCAAATATTGAATCACAAAATCATTTTGATTTTTTAAAATTTTCTTAGACTCCTTAACTATTAGTCTAAATAGTACATGTAAAAGAATCTTTAGTGGGAAAATCACAATGTTTAAGTACATGTATGTTGATCTTCATGTCGCATTACATGTCACGCATTGGTTTCTTTATACGGTAAAAAAACGAACACATGTTTCAATCAGGAGAATAATTTATTAATGGTGGGACCAAGGTACAAGATGTATTTATGGAGGGTGTGAACTTATGAAGCGTGCACTTAGGGAGTTTTACTGTATTAATTTTCTTTAATGAGTATAAGTTTTTGTCCATAAATTTGAATCAAATATACCGAAACTGATACCCGTACAATACAGTCGAAGTTTTTGGCCAGTACAAAACCACACGGTTTTAAAAACTGGGTATAGAGAATATTAATATAAAACCTGTATATTGTGTTTAACGAAACAAAATCCTGTGCCAGCCCTCCCTGTATATAGCAAAACCTTAATAACGTGAAATTTTGTCTAGGGAAAGTAACAATTATAATTCTATATTTTGAATTGACGAATTTAAGGCTTTTATCTAGAAAAATTATACATTAAAGTTGGAATTAAGCCTAGTAGAGAAACCATACAGAGGTATTATTCAGGCTACTTATCGCTTCTATTTAACGATATTAGGGTCAAATCGGTCTGATTTGAGAAATATTTGTATTTGATTTAAATATAAAATTAAAATATAAAAATACATTTATATAATTCGAATTAACTCGATCCGATTATAGTTTAATTCGACTGACTCGAATTTTGCTAAAAATAATAGTATTGTAGCGACGACGTTGTATAAGTTTTGACAAGAATTCATAAACTATCATTATTATTGCATATGTGAGAATCACGCTCGTTCTTATCAAATATTACAAACTATTACGATGTAGGTAGGTTGGTTTTACCGAGATATAGCTTATAATATGAGTTGGCTAGTTATTTCGTTAACAGCTCAGGGAATCTGCGGTAGTTCGGGATATCTTTAAAAAAATTAGTTATATTTTGGGCTTGTCAATGGAACATCTATAAGTTGATGCTGTGAAGTTGGGTACATCCAATATACCGAAACTTATCTTCCTCCTGATAAATCAAACCTTCCGACAGCCTAACATCCTGACAAGTTCTACTTTCTGACAAACCCAACTTGATACTGCTGACGTCACAATTAAAATCTTGTGATTACGGAAATTTCTGGAAGAATATGAAATCTCTATTCTTTGAGTATTATTTAACGAAGAATTAAAATATCGTTAGTAGAGTTTTCTGTAGCACTAAAAAGAACATTATCAGGCGCTTTTCATTTATACATGTAGAATATTATCCAAAAATACGCCAATTAGATTCAGTAAATTTTATAATATAAATGAAATCTTTTCAGGCACTGTTCATTTATATTCGAAGGATACTATATGTAAGTTATTCCGAAAATGTTTAGATTAGGTTCATAGAGTTTATAAATAAATAATACTTACATTTTCTAGTATTTATAGCTAGTAGTTATTTTATTAGAGCTTTTTTTGTTTCCTATATATTATATTAATTATAAATATTATCACAAATTGAGTTTGTATAATATATGCTGATGTATCAGATGAAGATAATTGAGTATTGCTTTTCCACATCATCATTAATTTTGATTTTCACTGAGATCTGAAAATTGGCGTAGAGGGCATTGATACAGGTGGTGTAATATGTTCGTGTATCATCAACATTTATTTTAGTAAGAACTGTATTTAGGTATCGGTATTTTTTTTCGTTTGTATTTAGGTGGTGTAATATTCTGGTAAATGAGCTTCTTTGCATTCGGTCTCAATTACAAAATCAGCCATTTTTCTAATAAGGCAAATCAGATTGTTTCGGATCAAAATTTTCTAAATATTTATTTTCAAAATAAAATCAAATATATTTAGAACAGATTAAAAATTTTAAATAGCATTCGGAATATAAACAGAACCTTTTCAATATTTTCAGGATATTTCTAAAGGTAATCAGAAAAACTCGGAGTATATTCAATGAAAATTTTTATAGGGAGAGTATGTGTCGAACGCCAGCCTTATTTAAATGAACCAAAAGTAATTTTAATTTATTTGTATTTATGAT